TATAGTGCCCAAGGAACCCTATCTTTTTTTGGATTCTTCCTTTAGAACAACCACTTGTATCTCAAATGGGCAATTCTAACATACCACATAGAGTTTTATCTTTTTTATTTTTTATTGACCTCTTTGCATATATTTAAATTTACATTGAGGACAATGTTGTGCTTTAAATATGAGGAAGTTCCTAATAAATATATTTCTTGCTGCTTGCTCTTAAGTGAATTCCTATGCTTTTTCTTTTATATGATAATTTAAAATTTTTATCCTCAAAGGATCCAATTTCTTTTAGATATAAGAGCATGTTGATTGATTATTTCTGAATTAAAGATTTATTATAAAACTGATAATTAGCTAAGCTCTCTAATTTTTTACTTTACATTAAACTTAGCTCACATACATGAGTTGTAAGTCTTTATAGTAATTTTTATCCTAATTCAATTAATGATACCTCTTTTCTCATTGTTTTGTGCGATTATCCTATTAGGATTTCTGTTTTAGAACTTAACTTGTAACCAACGTAAGGTTACTCTTTTTTATTGCATGTTTTAATACGATTAAGGCATATTAGGATTAATTTTTCTTGACATTCAACATATTTTTTATACACATAATTGCCTACTTTAAGCTTTATTAATTTTCTTTTGATCCCTTGTATCAAACTATATAAAATATTTTGATAACCTTAAATTTATGAATGGAGTAATTGGGTTTAAATGTGTAAGAAGAAACAAATTTTTATTGTATGTATTCTCCTCTACTTCTTTTCTTATATGCAAAAAGAAAGAAAATATATGCATATATAAAAGAGAATGAAAATAGCAAAAAGAAAAAAAAATGTTTACAAATGAATGAAAGAGAGAAGGAGTAAGAAATTGATTGTATGTAAGTTACTCCAAGAGTTTTATTTATAAACTTAGGAGTTGTTTGTAAATTATATGATTTATTACCTTTTTGAATACCCTTCCTTTTCATCTATCTCGTCTATGCTTATTATAACCTTTTAGCCACAATATAATATGAAAAAGACTTCATAATTTTTACTTACATTCAATCTAATTAGTGAAGAGTTTGTTTATGGTCAAGTTTATGGTAGTACACTTCTCTATAGAGAAACTGAGTGTAATCTCTTTTTTGTCTTTAGACACTTAGAGAGAGAGAAAAGTAGAATACCCTGGTTTAATATTTGAATGAAAAATTAGGAACTATAAGATTCTAACTGGGAAAATTTTTGATTGTTTATGTTCAGTGATATTACTCCTTTTGTTCTTCTGATCTCATATATCTCGGATTCCTTTTTAGGATAATATGTTTTCAAGTTATCTGTTTACTCTTAACCAAGATTTTGCTTAAAGGGCAAACAAATGTCAAGTATGAGGGGATTGATAAGTATTTATTTTGACATGCTTTTATAGCCTATTTTCATATACTTGATTTTTATTTGAATGAGTTTTATACTAATTATTCTATTGATTATTGCATTTTAGCATGTTAAAAGCTTTAGTGGATTATTGAAGTATTTTGGGCATGAATTGATAAAAAAAAATAGGACAAGTACGCCTATATTTCAGTAGCAAGCACACTCATCCAACTTGGAGATTGTTAAGGGACCTGCAAAAAGATAATTTGAATTTTAAATTTTGGCAAATCATATCTTTCTCTCTTGATACGTCATATTTTTATTAGAGATAAAACATATCTCTTAGATGCAACAACCATCATCACTTGTGCATTTTAAACCATATTTAAAGAAGCCTGAGGGCTATAACTTAAATATCTTGATTTTAACCAGCTGTTGATGACTATTGGAGCTTTAGAAGTGTGTCTTGAGATCAAGAACTCTCTCCATCTCTTCTTTAGTGGAGACTTTTATAGTTTGCATTTACTTTTCAAATAACTATTGATTGGTTTATTATTGTTTTAATTTTTTATTATATTATGTCTAGCTAAATACATAGTTAGGGTTATGATAGATTCTTTGCATGACTCTATGTGATCTTTATGTTTGATAATAGTTTCAGTTTCCTTTCTTGAATGATGTTTATCCTATTACGCTATATTTGTATGTTCAAAAGTGACACTCTTAAATATACCATAATTAATTATATTGTAGGTGACTGTATATACATATAGTTAATGAATATATAGGGTAAAACAAAATAAAGGATTAGATAAACTAAACTTAGTTCTTCTTTTTTAATTGTTATTAAATTAACAGCTCATAAATTTTTCATATTTTCTCTTCCTTTTGCCTTGCTTGACCATTTGGAATAATAACTTAGAGAAAAGATTAATAGTATTATATGATCATTGTGTGTTAATAAATTTAGTACAAGTAGTTAGTAACCATAAGAAATTCATAATTAGAATTAATCTTAAAGTTAATATAAAAAAGTGTAAAAATAAAATCATATGTCCTAAAATTCATCTAGATTAGTTTATTGTCATAAATTGTGTTATCTTAATTCATCTTAATTACTTTTATATTTGAATCTTATTTAATTTAATTTTACATTTTTAAGTTTAAACAATTAAATTAAAATATTCTTGGTACTTAAAAATAATTATTCTAGGACGATATTTTAGAAAATTATTTTAAAACTCTTTATTAATTCTTGATTGGTACACTTGTTCACGAACATTTTCAAAAGTTAACTAAAAAGTAATATTTTATTTGCTTTTATTACTTTTTGACAAATACACTTATATATGAACATTTACTTAAACGGTATAATATAAAAGTAAGATAAATTATAAAGTTTATTTAATAAATATTTTAGAGTAAACACATTGAAATAAAAGATGAATAAAGTTACAATAATTTTTAATAGTTCATAAATAAGATTTATTTAAATGGAGTTTTCCAAAGGCCTTAAAAAGAAAAATTGTGAACATATAAAAAAAATTAAAAAAGTTAATTTCAATTTTTAAGATTAAGTTTATATTATTATTAATAATAAGAATTTATTGAGGAAAGAAGCATTTATTTTAATTTTATAACTTTAATAAAATTATGAAAAAAATTGAAAAGAAACGGCGATGTGTATCCATTAACGATAGGGCTCTTGTTGAATGTAAGTAATTGTAGAAGGAACCTGGACTATTACAAAGGTGCCTTTTTCTGTTTTCTCTAGTTTTTTATAATCTGTCAATTTAAAAATTCATAATAAATTTATCTCCTGAAAAAAAAGTTATATAACTTTGTGGACGTAAATATATTGTATTTGTAAGTCTCTCTGCAAAAAAACACCGTGAAAATTCAACTTCTAAGTCCCGAGAAACAAGTTAAAATCTATTAAATAAGCTGCTGCAAATTTTGTTAGCTTGCATGAGCATTAGGTGGACTTTCACTATATAAATAAGTGGCACCCAACTGCATGTATTCATGTTCTTTTGTGTAAAATCTGATCGTTATGAATGTGGAGTGAATGTTCTCCTCAATACTAAAGAATTAGAGTGATATATAGTTCCACAAAGTTCCCTATTTTTCTTTTTTCCCATATCAAGAACGATCACAAGCTGTGATTTTGATGACTATAATGATAATTATGAAAATCTACTATTGATGAAGGATTTATAAATGTCATACCTGATAATGTTAGTGGAAAGAAGAGTGATTTAAAGAGTCCTACTAATCTCTGTTTTAGAAGATGTGAAATTGCAGTTGAAAATATATTTCTATATAAAAAAGCAATAAAACGTTAGGAAAGTTACTGCAAAAGTTTATCATACATAATCAATTAAGCATGAAGGAAGCTACTGCAAGGTCTTGGAAAAATTATTTAATTTTCAAAATTAATAAAAATGTTAACTTTTTACTATATTTTTAATTGAATTAAATTTAACTATAATTTCTTAAATGTTTTTTAAATTAACTTTTTTAATAATCAATGCAATAAAAGTTAATATTTATCAATTTGAATTTTCTTATATTATTAACTAACAAGATATGGTAACAATGATCCATCATAATTATTTATAAAATTTGTTAATTAAATTTAATATAATTTTTTTTTTCTTTTCAACGGAATCGTATATTAATAACGAAGATGAACAATTCAAATCTAATATATACAATCAAGATTAATTACCAAAATAATATTCTAATTTTAATTAAAAGATAAAATTAAAATAACCTAAAAACAGTCATAAGTTTGTGACTTTTGTCCTTCCTAATCAACCTTCCTTTTTTTATTTTAATCGGCCCTAATAAACGTTCCTTACATTGGGATTTTGCACTCATCTTTCTAAATTTCAATATCACCACCAAACACCCGTTCTTCCCGGGAAACCACCTTTTAGTCACATGCAAGAGCTTTATACGGGCAAATACAGACATTCAGTTCAACAATCCATTGCCTATATTTCTGCTATATATATTATATTTATATTCTTTTACACTGATATATATGTTTAAAAAATTTTATATTAAATTTGAATATTTTATTTAACTTATATTTAATGATTAATAAAATAAAAAATTATAAATAAAAAATTCAAGTTTAACGTAAGAATTTTTAATCTTGGTATAAGTAGATTCTTCTCCCTTTAAAAAAAAATACACATTTGGTTGATAAAATTTAAAAGAAACATATACAGCTCGCTTCTCAAGATGAGATCAAGAGAGAGAAAAGGGGGTTTGGAATCGAATGTGGTAGATGACAGATGTAGATAGATGTGGAAGAAGATGCCTCTGGACGGAGAATTATTGGACATGTGTGTGTGACTCGATCCCTTTTGTCCATTACGCGCAATTGTTCAAACCCAGCTGTAACATATAACAAAATCGCTTCTTTCTGGGCCCACTTTCCAAATACCAATTTCGATCTCTCTCTCTCTCTTTCAAGTCTCAAACCAATTAATCTCAATCTCAATAATAATCATCATCATCGTTGTATTTGCATTCAGTTCCATAATCACTTGGTGGTCTACCCAAGTCTTTTTCCAAAGTTATTTTTGATGATTCATGATATATGATATGATAATACCGTTAGGCTGACATGAATATGATACTTTTTCATTCAACCTTCCAAGCGTATAGAAACAAACAAAATTCCGAGGACTCACTGACAGTAAACCCCTCCACTGACCCAGAACTACCCGTTTGAGTTGATAATGGTGTGGATGAAGATGATAACGGTGGTGATGACGATGATGATAGTGAATTATATGATGACATTGATGTGGTGCAGGATAAACTAGGCTTAAAAATGAACAAAGCATGTTTCAAACCAGGACTAAAGAGCCAATCATGAACATCCCAATATACCTCCACTCTCATTTTGTGGAGATGAATTGACTCGTTCCCTCTGAATTTCCATTGCAAGTGCTTGACGTGGATCACCAAGTGCCCATCAAATCTTATCTCCATCTCTGGCTGAACCTCACTTGAAGAATCTCCTCCGTTAATACCCTTGTTCTTGCACTCAATTTGGATCTCATGGCACCTACCCTTCTCGTGGAACTTGGCTCTAGTAGAGAACTTTCTCTTCCCAAAAATGTGTTCTTTTTTTGAAACCAAAATTGGGTCTATAAGAGCTGGCCTGCACCCAGTTCTTCTATAGGCTTCTTTCTTTAGATCACCGAGAAGCAAGACAACCTCTTCATCACAAACCACTGCTACATAGTACTCCGAGGTTGGTTCTGTTTCACCGTTAAACTTTGCAGCTTTAAGGTCCCAGAATATGTCAACCGCTTTGTTACCATCTACCATGAAGCGCTTAGAACCATGTTTTCTCCAAAAGTACCACGGCTTTAGCTCAACCTTGCAGCTATATTGGGTTTCGCTTTCTCCTTCTGGGCCTTCCACTGACACTGATAAACCATGAAGCATCAAGTTTTTGCACCATGTGATGGTTATCAAGCGGCAGTGATCAGCGATCTTTGTTCTATATACAGACACGTGCACGCTTTGACCTGAACGTGTCACTGCTGTGTGATGATCATCGATTGATTTAACTGCAGAAGAAAAGCAAGCTGGGATCCCAATTGAGTCTTGCATTGTCAATGACGAACTTTGAGTGCACAATATGATGAATGATGGATGATGAAAATGCGATGAGAAAGGATAGGAAAAGTGGGAGAAGAATGATGGAGATCTCAGTGACAAGCTGTATCTAGAATTGAAAGCTTGGTGCTGCCAGAAAGTGTTATTGGTAGCATTAATGGTATTTGGGAAAGAAAATTATATATTTAATTTCCAAACTGGCTGGCATATATGGACTGGCAGTGAGTGAGAGTTAGTGAAGACTGAAGAACAACCCTTTTAATATTTTACACAACTGTCTATAATCTCTTACCAGTAGCCTCTTTCAAGATTTTATATTTTAAATTGAACCTCCAAAACTGTTTCCGAAAAATTTGATGGATGGCAGATTTGTTTTTAATAGCAAAATTTTACTTTTGTTTTCAAAAATCAAGAAATTATTATATGGCCCAAAATTACCATTGTTCATGATCTCGATCACTTATCTAGTATCGTATGATAATATTTTCAAATTTTAACAAAAGTTATTAAATTCAATCACATGTCGCCCGATGAATGATCGACATTATCGACAGTTGATCCCTGACCTTATAATAATTTTTACTAAAATTACAAGGTACACTAACTAATTATTTTTCTTATTTAGAGGGTCACTATTTAATATTTTTTATATGTAAGGGTTATTCTATTACTTTTTTTTTGTCCTCCATTACTTTTTTTTTGCTAATTTACCTTAAGAAGTTGAAAGTATAAACTATCTTAGTTTTCTTGGTTTCTTGAATCCTAGGTGGTTTTGATTGGGTATATTCTAAAGTGCATACTTCCAGGCAGAGTTAGAAGCAGGGATGCCATTTCACCGCATTTGGTGTCTTGATGTTAACAAGCTAAGGACAGGAATCATCTATAATCTATTCATGACAGCACATCAAACAGGGCTATAAGAGGGTCATGAATAAGCCGTCAAAACTATAAGGAAGAAAAAAAAATTATGTTTAAAGGGTTGGCTTTCCATTGATACTATTTCAACTTTCTTTGTTGATATTTCCACTTTCTTCCTTGTCTTAAAATATCTCCCATAATTTAATATATAAGACCTTATGGTAGTTACAGTAATTTTGATTACTTCGTATAAAAATGCATTAAATATTCTATCTCAGCATTGTTCCCACTTAATGTTTGTGACCAAGCTAGCATTTTTCTCAAGTTAATTTGTATTCGATCTTTAAAACCTCAACTTCAAAGAAGAGAATGATAATTGAGAGAAAAATATGAGGAATCTATCGACATAGTTGCATGCCATATATCTGATCTTAAAAAATTTACATTTATTCAACATTTTTCTTCAAGACAGTTTTTGTTTCAAACCATCAATCCTCAAGAGCTTTATAGTGACGTAATTTGACTTATGCCTTAGCTTAGGCAATTCAGCAACCTGAACCGTCCACATGCAATTGGATAACGTTCCAACTAATGGCGTGAACGAGCTGAATTGTGAGTCAATTTAATATGAATTTAATTTGAATAACATTACTTTTTTTAGTAACAAATTTCTAACTTTTGGTAATGATTGTTCAGTGTTGCTGTAGATAAAAAATATATATATATTCTAGTGTAAAAACATCACAAGAGAAGAAGTAAAAAAAAATAGGGCATCTGTGAAAGTTTTGAAATTGTATTTATATTCAAGAAACTTTTGTATTTGATGTTAAGAGTTCAGCTATCACTTGCATATGGCTATTTTAATAGAAAAATTTATTTTTATTTGAAAATTGTAAGAGATAATAATTATTTATATACGTTAATTTGAACATGATTTTTGGATTGTGGGGGGAATTAAAGTAAAAAATCATAAGTAATTGTTGAAAGCATGGTCCCAGACAAGATAAGACATCCCTATGCCTTGGAATGGATCTTAGAACAGCATATAAGTAGAGTGCAGATAAATCAGCATTGAAAGAACCGATGGCCTATGTTAACCAAAACTTTTCAATGGCTTCCCATTGTCTAATCTTTCCCGTCGCTACCGCAATAATGCTTACCTAATATGGTCGAAACATTATTTATTGGTAGTTTTACCGATATAACCTTTATAGTTTTATTCTAAATTTTTAATTTACAATTAATATCATGTCAGCAAATAAAAACATGACATCAATTTAATTATCATTTTGATAAAATTTATTATTAATTTTTAAACAAATAATTCACCGTGTTATTATAAACAGAAACACAGAATTCTTCCATTTATTTTATTAGTCCTTGTATCTTTACTTAATTCAATTGGCTAAGAAAAGCAAATGCAACGATATATGAAACCTGTTAGTGGCAATGATCTGCCTATGTTAGGGGTTGGGTTTAATAAAAAAATCGACTTAAATAAACTAATTTTAGTCAAATATATTGAATTAGGCACTACTAAATAAGTGGTGGATTTTCTAGTTTCAAGTTTGAATTTTAATTAATGTAATTATTACAAATACTTAATGTGAAAATTTTGCCGCTTATAATAATACTATTCCACTTAAACAAGTTTCTCACTCTCTTTAATAGAAAATATTTGTGAACTAGACTAAATGGATTAGATTGAATATTAAGTCAATATACTATCGTTATTTATTTTTTAAAAAATATTTATAATAAAATAACATTTAAAATTGAACAATTCATATTATACATGTAAAAAGATTTTAAAAAAATAAAACAATAATAGAAATAATATTAAGCTAATTTGAATTAGTTAAAATTCATTAAGTTTGAAAATGTATAATCTAATATCCAATGTGATAATGATCAAGCTACAGTATATAATTCAATCCAACCTAAGTACTCAAATCAATTCGTACTTTTTCATTTTGATTGAGTTCACATTAAATCAATGTCCAGCCCTAACCTCTGAGGTAAGTACTAACTCAGAAAATCCTTAAATCCTCTTGCCCCAGGCTCCGAATCTAGGCCCACTACTTCAGAAATAGTAAATGGTTTCCAGCCATACTTGGCATCTGACCAAAAATAAAAAGCCATACTTGGGACCACTAATGTTATGGGCCACATCTTGATTTTGCACGTTCAGCCTGGGTCTGCCCAGGGCTCATTCACCTCCACCACACATGCATGGTTCACACAGTGTCTCAGCACACTCCTATGCTGGTGCTCTTCAAGGGTTAAACTTACATCTCTTAACTAGTATATATCTTTTCACTAGGCGACAAGCACTCGACTACCAAGTTTTCATCATGGTAGCTAACACAATTCTCAGCAGTAAATTTGATAAAATTTTGCTGATTGGGACAATGAAAAGCTAGACAGTTCGCAAAGATGCGTAACATGATATGTTAGAAATACGTGATAACGCGTCTAAATATTAAAACCTAAAAATAATAAATTTTGTTTGAAGCTTTGAGTGTTTGTTAATTGTTTCTATACAAATCTGAAAAAGATAGGTGTGTAACAATAGAGAAGGGGAAAAGTTCTAATGCATACGGCTTTACAAGAAACGAATGGATTATCTACGGTTCTCAAAGAAGGATGAAATGAGGAAGAATCAATGCATTTTCATTGTTCTTAATGATTGCGCTCAGTTCTTGATGTAGTTGATTTTTAATGGAGCTTTCATTCAAACATGTTTCATGGTGAATGAGTGGGAAGAAGGTTGTAGAAAATGGAAGCAAAAGAAGTGAGAGTTGAATGCAAAATCATGGTGATTGAAAAAGAGAGATACAGGGAGGGGAAAACAGATGCAAAGCAGGTAGGAGTTGTTGAGTGTCAAATTGTGGTGTGTTCGTACATGTATTATTTATATAGGACATTAAGGGTCAAGAGGTCACTTGTTGTTATGGTAATGGATTATAAAGCTATTGTGACATGTTGGGGGATGTTGCCTCCATTCCTTTTTTTGTGAAACCAGCAGTTGGAAGCACTCAGGAGTAAAGGTTAATTTTGTGCAAGTCATGAAAGGAATGAAACGGGTGGATGTCTTTGGTCTTAAAAATGATAAGTCTTAAAAGTGAGTTAACATAGTATTTAAGTTTCTTAGTGAAAAGTTGCATCTTCCCTATCAATAATATAAAGAGAGGTGGTGTGCTAAAACGTTGCTATTTTACTTGATTAGAAATTATTTTAGACGGCCTAGTGCATCCTGCAATTAAAGGAAACATTTATTAGAAACAATCATAGTGATATTCTACATATGCAAATTTTACATTTACATGATTTATTAATAAATTAATAAATTTTAAACATAATATTATTTAATAAAATAGTATATATTATCTCTTTCAATTGCGCTTCTTTGTTGTCAATAACATTGTCAAGTTAGAATAATAAATTTAAAGCTAATGATTGTGTAACAAACATGAGAAGTTTGACTAACCACAGTATTTACATATAACTCGATTATATTTCTTTTGATATAGTTATTAACATGCACTTATCTTGTAATTAATATCTTCTTTATTACATACATTTAAAACTGTGTAGTTTTCACTCCTTATATCAATTGAAATTCGTGAAATTAGTCTAGAAATTACTTCTTCTTTTTTTTTTTGCTAAATATCAACATTTTATTAAGAATAAATTTAAAATAGAAGGAGTACTTTAATTCGTTACAACTCTAAAAGAAATTAACAATACATGTCAAAGGATCATTAATCGATCTTCCCAAAGGTCCTACTGTAAGTCACTTTCAAGATGCATATCCTAATCATTTGACCTAAGGATTCATCTAGAAATTACATTACTACAACAATATCAATTTTGTACGTATCTTTCTTTTCAACACGTCGAAGGTAATTTCACATTCTATTTTAATCATCTTTTATTTCTTTCAAATATTATTTCCTTATTTTCTTCATTCATTCCAATATTCAGTCATCCTGCATATCAAAATTTTAATAATAATAACAATAATAATAATAATAGATTAATTACTTAAACAAACACTAATAAAATATTAAAAATAAATTAAATTAAAAGAGAATTATATTTACATTTTAAATATTATACTTATACTAAATAAATTTTCATAACACAACAAATGTTGTTAATTTCAAAAATTATAATAACATAAAATTAATTATTTTTAATCTAAATACAAATTTAAATACAATATAATTTATTTTTTATATTATAATAATTATAAATATTTTTTATTTTAAAATATTCATAATAATCCAAATCTTAATTGCAAAATTCAAAAAATT